AGTAGTAGTAGTAGTAGTAGTAGTAGTAGGGTAGTAGTAGTAGTAGTAGTAGTAGTAGTAGTAGTAGTAGTAGTAGTAGTAGTAGTAGGGGTAGTAGTAGTAGTAGTAGTGGAGAGAGGAGAGTAATTTTCCGATTTCCATGCTGTCCTCATCAATTTCGTGCATCACGGAAAATTCATCGTTTCTCATCAACGCGCTGCGGCTTTTTTTCATATCTGCTAACTGGGTTTCTGGAAGGTGCGGTATCACCAGTAGTTATCACATATACTGAAGTCTCACCCATTTTACGTGAAGTGGCGTAGAACTAGGTGAAAAACGCGATATTCGCGGTGATATGCAGTAGTCGTGAAATGTGTTCATCACTAGTGTTTTTAACATATCACTAGGTTGGTGAAACTCCACTGTATTTTCTCAGATATCATTAACGTGGCTTGCCGGTCCATTGACCGGGATTTTCGTTCAACCGATGGTTGGAGTCTTATCGGATAGATTCGGAAGACGTCGAAAACCATTTCTCTGCACTGGTGAGACTCAGTGTGAGCAAGTATGCATATGTGTTGGTGACAATATGAAAATTTTGAGAAAATTTTGGGAAGCTCTTGTCGGTTTCTGAACGCTTCTACCCGAATTCGTATGTGAAGTTTTATAATTAGTGAGGAAACTCCTGAGCTCAGCCGCCGAAGAAAGCGATTACATATATTCATCCTCCAACACTGTATCGGAAACTCCTGAGCTCAGCAGCCGAGGAAAGCGATTACATATATTCATACTCCAACACTGTATAGGAAACTCCTGAGCTCAGCAGCTGAGGAAAGCGATTACATATATTCATACTCCAACACTGTATAGGAAACTCCTGAGCTCAGCAGCTGAGGAAAGCGATTACATATATTCATACTCCAACACTGTATAGGAAACTCCTGAGCTCAGCAGCTGAGGAAAGCGATTACATATATTCATACTCCAACACTGTATAGGAAACTCCTGAGCTCAGCAGCTGAGGAGAGCGATTACATATATTCATACTCCAACACTGTTAAGATTGTAAAATATGCCGTACTTGTAGTGTAAAGTGCCATTGATCGTTGCATGGCAGAGCAATTTTGCGATGATACATCAATCGGGTACAGTGTAGTTTAAGCCTAGTGATATGAAAAACACTAGTAGAAAATACATTTCACGACTACTGCATATCACCGCGAATATCGCGTTTTTCATCACCGAGTATTACGGCACTTCATGTGAAACGCGTAGAACTCCAGTAGTTACATAACACACACTACTAGCGAATATTTAGTCGATTAGAAGAAGTAAGTTGAAAGCAGTTTGTATTACTTCAGAAATTTGAGGGGAATTAGTACTATAAACACAGTGATGGCCAATTGTGTGAGAGAGTAATGGAAATGATGGATAAGGGACAGCTATTGTGTTACCACCAGAACAACATTGGAGAACTCTATCGAGGAGATCGAAAGTGTTTATTCTCTCGTGATGCACTGGTCAGTTGATCAGGTCTTGTTGGGATGATTATTGGACTGTTGACATTTTCAAGAGCATCTTCTACAATAGTCGCCGTTGCAGCCTTCTGGTTCCTCGACGCTTCCATCAACACTTATCAAGCAGCATTAAGGGCTCTGCTGATCGATACTGTACCGGAACAATCGCAAGTAGGGGAAATATTTGTCACCGTGATATCGTGTCACCATAGTCGATCGCCAATGCGGCACTTGGTGTCACCGCAGGGCTCAGCACTGCGTTGGGGTACGCCTTGGGTGGAATTGAACTTGGCTCGGGTGAGTTGAAACGTAACTTGAAATAGAAAGGACTTCATCTAGAAGGTTTAATCACGTCGGAGGCGTCGATGGTATTCACTATTACGGCGATTTACGTGGGAGTTTTCGGCTGCTGTGGTGTCTTGGGTGTGAATGAAGATATTTCAACAACAACTGAAATGGCAGCAGTAGAGACAGAAAACTGTGGCAAACGACTTTTACGAGAAACGGCAGAAGGCGTGGGAAATTGTCGTGTAGCAGTCGTGCTTGAGTGATGCGTATCAGATTAATGTGATGCCTGTTACGATGAGGTTTGCATTTGCGGCCCAATCAGCGAGTTACGTTGCTTGGTTCGGTATTTTTATGTATAGTACTGAATGGGTGGGTACGACAATATTTAATGGTGATGATGGAGCCTCGCAAGAGCAACAACTGTTATTCACCCAGGGTGTACGTCATGCTAATATTAGTCTGGCTTGGGCCGCCATACTGTGTAGTGCGGCGTCGATTTCTATTCCTCTTCTGTTGAAGCGAGTAAGTCTAGTGTGTTAGAAGGAGGGTGAATATGTAAATTCAGATATGTCTGAGTCGTCTGTGGGCGTTGGCTGTGTTATTGCTATCGATCGACTTGGGAGTTGCGGCTACTGTAGTGAGTAAGCCCCTGATGGGTTTGCCCGTGATAGTCTACGACGCAGTCCACTTCTGGTTCTCATCACTCAGCTGCGTTGAGTGACGAGAAATCTTCAGCATTCGTAGGAATCGTTGAGTAACGATTACAGTAGACTAGTTTCAGGTCATTCGATTGAAATTTGCTGATTTATCGAATATATTTTTATATATTATTTATCTATCATCCTGGTTGGTGGTGGTGCCAGGATAAAAATGGTGATAGGAAGTGTGGACGCTGCAGAAAGTCGGAACCTGGTTAATCTGAAATGTTCCGAGTCGTCTTATCCGGATGAAAAATATATCAACATGTTTATTCTAAATGAGGCCGGAGGGCATCTTCACCAACTCAACTCTCAGTGGTGGTAGCTTGTCAGTGGGGCAGTTCTATCAAATTTCTCAGAACCGCTTGCCGCCTTACTTAATCGGGTTTCGAGGTACTCCGATGGCGTCCCGGGTGTGTATCGTGTTATTGGGCATACCAATGGCTGCTACGCATCTCTTACCATGGACTCTCGTATCGCGTATATGCTCAACACCCCAACTGGCTGATCATAGGTAGATGATGCTCATAGGATTGTAACATGTTTTATTGGTTTTCATAGAGCTCGCCTGACAACTGTGTTCAACCTCTCGCAGTGTTGGCCGGAAATGACGATGAGCGCAATTGCAGGAGTTGTCTTTTCAATTCCTGGTAGGGGTAGAGTCTAACTCGAGGAAGTATTATTTTGAATAGTTTTCAGGTGGGTCCATCCGGGTGGTACTGCTAGTCGC